CCTCAGAAGACTCAAATCACGTTTGGTGCCGAAATTTCTCAATTTCTTTGAAAAAGAGCGTCGCGTTAAAACGTGTGAAGCAATGCTTTCTGACTATCATGACGTCTACAAACAAATTATTACTGGCGATGAGACTTGGGTCTACGCATACAACCCTGAAACAACCGACCAATCGAGTGAATACTGTGAAAAAGGCGAGCCGAGACCGAAGCAACCACGTCAAAGTCGCTCAAAAATCAAGGTCATGTTGACTGTTTTCTTTGATTATTGTGGTGTCGTGCACTACGAATTCCTTCCAACTGGCCAAACTGTCAACAAGGAATATTATTTAAGCGTTATGCGACGTTTGCGTGAAACTATTCGCAAAAAGAGACCGGAATTATGGGCCAATAACTCTTGGATTTTGCACCACGATAATGCGCCTTCGCACACAGCACTGGTTCTTCGTGAGTTTTTCGCCAAAAACTCTACCCATGTTGCTCCACAACCACCGTATTCGCCCGACTTAGCACCGTGTGACTTCTGGCTGTTCCCAAAGCTCAAGAGACCACTCCGGGGAAATCGTTTTTGATTCTTGAAAAAGAGATCCAACGTGAATCGGCACGCACATTGAAGGCTATCCCTACCGAGGACTTTTTGGCATGCTTCGAAGACTGGAAAAAACGTTGGCAAAAGTGCATTGGGGCCGGGGGGGATTATTTTGAGGGGGACGAAACAGATTTGGAAGAATAAATAAAGATTTTTCATTTTATAAAAAAATTCACCTTACTTTTTGATCACAGTAGTATTAAAAAAAGTTTCTAATAAACAAAATTGAATGTACGCAACAAGTGTGTGTATACAAATGTGGAGTATGCAAGTCATAGTAGTTTATATAGTAAAATTAAAAACAAATCTTTTTATTTAATTAGGTAAAAGAGGTACAAGAATATAATCAAAACCACTTATTAAGCATATACATTTTTTTACACTGGAAAGCGGAGCAACACTTAGAGTATCTGATAACCTAGTAGCTTTGTAAATGCCAATATGGCTAGAAGGAATTGGATATTCAAAAAAAGCAGATAAGTCACAAAAACCATTGAAAACAACAAAAAGTTTTTCATCTACTTGTATAAGATTCATAACTTTTCCATAAATATTGTTAACGCCAATATAACTATCGCACAACTTAGACATAGAGAGCTTAAATGAACTAGCATGAAACACCATATACTGTTTAACTTCAACAGAATTGTATTTTTCAGAAATAGGACCATTAGAGTGCAGTTTTTTACAAATAGGAAAATCATTACAAATTGGCTGTGTATAACTATTATTTCTTTCTTTGAGTCTGTTGACAACTTGCTGTAGAGGAAGACGAGATGAACGTACCAACTTTTTTAACTTGTGTAAACTATTTTCAAAAGGAAAACAACTAATTGTGTCCTATGGGCCATACTTTTCAACATCTGAGGCTAAATGAATTAAAGAATGCACATTGTACACAAGAAACTGGCGTCCATATAACAACTGAGAATGTTTAACAAAGCATTTTAGTAAGTTATCAGCATATGCACAATATTCCTTGCATAAAGTTGGATGACATAGACAAAATATAGCAACTGAAAGTAACATGAAATGATTATAGACAGCAGGATCAAGAAACTGTTTTAATACAACAGGCCCAGTATAAATAAGAAACTGTCTGAACTCTGTAGCTTTCCATCGCCTAATTTCATCTAAGGAACGAGGTTTTCTTTGAAATTCATTAGGTATACAAATTTGCAAATTAATTAATGCACTTGAAAGCTTTTGAACATTCGCAGCAGGCAAACGACATTTTAAATTACCTGAAAGCCAAGACAAAACCAACCTTCGAACAACACCAAGGCAAATCAAATGCATGTAGTCAAGAGGAAATTGACTAACTAAACCCAAGTTGAGTTTTTGCAATGGTGATGGTGCATCTCTTGTATGATGATCTTCATCTATGTGTTCATTGAATGCAGTATCAGTCCTCAATGGAACTTTACTTTCTGGCAATATTATTTTATGAAAATTATAAACACCTCGTTGGTTACATCTTTCACACGAATGATATCCACTATGTGATTTAATGCATTTGACAAAGGCTCGTGCAGGTGCATCACACAGAACACAATGAATGATAACCTTTATATGTTTTTCATTTACGTTAAATCCATTGTTTTGAAGGTGTAAAAACTCATTTACAAAATCATTCATGTATTCGTCAATATTTTGTGGTTTATGCGGCCCTGCATAAAGTCCAATGATAAATGGTAACTTTTTGATTCACATATTATCCCCGATATCGGCCAGAATTGGAAGTTTGAGCTTTTGTATATAGATAGTCCATCGATGTGAACTTGTACTTGGAGGAGTGTATGTTGTTTAGTAAGTTTAATATGTCCAGTAGTAATCTGATAAAGTATTGAATTTTTCAAGCCAAAATGATAATATTGGCCCCCACTAGTACACGAAACAATGACATGGTTAGTAATGTTGTTGATGTTACTAACTGATTTAGTGTGTAGTAAAGTTCTTGGATCCTTTGGCAAATTGGGATGAAGTGGATGCAATATGTTTAAAAGATTTTTTAAAGCTAAATTATTAATATTATTATCTAATGCCCACTGACCAAGATCTGATGATAGACAATCTTCGATTGCAGAAAAGGACTCTTTGCTCTCATTATCAGAACATGAAGGAGAATGTAAGTCTGATGGAGATGAAAAATCGGAAATACCAACATAATCGTAATCAGTGTTAATATAACTTTGTAATCCAGCAATGTTTATGGCAAAATTAGGTAGACATATATCATTATCTAAATTAGTATCACAGGTGTTGATTTGACTATCTGTAACAGTTGTACATTTTGTAAAATTTTGTTCAATCAAAATAATATTACTTTGTGAATTGTCGAATATGTTTGTAAGATGAGTAGCAACCTTTTCAAGAATTTTTCTTCTCTTAGTAGAATAAGACTTTCCACTATTCTCCATTTAGTTTGTGTAAATTTAGTTATGCCATTTGCCGCGCTTTCGGTTTATGAATTCTGTTTTACTAATAGCATTTGGTAGCCCTTTTATTCAATAAAACTTGGTCGGCCCGTTATATTTAATAAAACTCAGTCGTCAGTCTCGCATATGTCGGGCCAATACTAAATGCCATTACTATATCGACATGATTTGCCGGCATTAAACTATGCACTCGGCCGATGCGAATGTTGCATAAAATTATTTCCGACAGTTTAGCATATATTGGGCCAGTGCCATTTGCCAGCAGTAAACCGATATATGCTTGCCGGCGGTAGAACTCGCGTTGGGCCTATACCGTAAGTTTAAAAATGCTACGTGGGAAAGAGTGGTGACAACCACTTTCATATGGTACAACAGTTACTACTGGGGCTATGTTTGACTAAAAAGTTGTATTATTTGATATCATTAAGCCTGCAATGGATAGAACTTGGCTTTTATGATTTAATGGCAATGTAATTTATTACTTTTTAAAGTTGCTAATTTTTAATACATGTTATTCAATGCGTCAATCGGCACGTAACTTCATATGATAAACTATAATCCATAGGATCTAACTTCATTTAATAAAACTAATAAAAAAATAAGTTGAAGTGATTGTTTTGTATAAGTAAGTATGGGGTAACCTAATATAGCATTGGTAGGGGCCTTTAAACTGTAGAACAGTACTCTGTTGTGTCTTAGACAATTCAAAAAACTATTTATTCTAAAATTTGCTGTCAATGTTTAAGAAGCTTATTTAAATATAACACTTAGAGATAAAATTATGATACATATTATATGATATGCCTCAATAAAAAATAGCTTAGTCATAAGCTATTTTTTATTGAGACATATGAATGACATTTAAAACAATATATTGAGGCATAAGAATGACATTTAAAACAATATATTATCTGGAATTCTAAAATGTGGTTTGAACCATCGGATGCATTATTTGGGTTTTAATTAATAACTTGTTTTTCTTTCAAGTAAAAAATGTGTGTTTTCTTTGAGTTTTATACTTTTTATTTACTTTTTAAATGATGCTTATAAATGATGCTTACTCATAAAACCTTATGGGTTTATGAGTACTGTAAGTACTCGACACAAGTTTCTAATTTTATTTTAAGTAGTCTCACAAGTTTAACCTGTTATATTTTGGTAGTTATTAATTAAATTATTAAATTTAATTTTCTAAGTTTTATTCTAGAAATAAAACAAGTTGGCTAAAATAAAAAACTCTATCCTCTTTATTATAGCTTTTAAGGATAACTTTACTTGATTTTTTTTTTTAATAGGTAATTATTTATAAGAAGGAAAGACTAAATTATTATAACATGCAAAAACAAATATAAATATAATATTTCGACTGTAAAAAAAAACAATGCAATGTTAACATGCCCAACTTATGCAACCTTTTCCCCTAATTGTTTTACGCAACAACAACAACAACAACAACAACAACAACAACAACAACAACAACAACAACAACAACAACAACAACAACAACAACAACAACAACAACAACAACAACAACAACAACAACAACAAAACAGTTTGTTATTCAATTTTATTAAGTCAAATCTCAAAACAATGTTATAATTATTTTTTAAAAATACAAAATTTTAAAAAAATAAATAGCAGAAAGATATTATTAATTTTGTTAAAATATTAGAAATTTTACTATGTTTTGCCTTTATTCAAAAAGTAATTAAAGCTACTGCAATTTAGGACTCTAAACTGGGTAAGTCAATAAAAACACTGGGTAATTTGAGCATCCTTATTTTACACAAAAATAGTACGTTTAAACATAGTCAAAACTAAATGTTTCTATGCATTTTTTTCAAACACAAGCGCTACGAATTTCTGGCTAACATATTTTGCTTTATGAAAAATTAAATTTTTATTTAATTTTTATTAAATTTTAGCACAGAAGTTTTTCGCCATGGATTTATAAAGCGTGATAATAATAAAATATTTTAACAAAGAAAAAATTAAATAGCGTTTTCATTAGATGATAGCCGCTAATTATACTAATTTCTGTTATCGTCACAGAAATTCGTTTCAAAAAAGAAAAAGTAAATATAACTTCACTGCTTACATCTTTTGCAATGCAGTGTTTACAAATATATCGAGTTTATAGTAAGTTATTAAATTATTATTTACCAACTCTTTTCCCCAAAAGGGTGACAAATTCTTGTTAACAGTTCTTGTTAACAGTTAACTAGTACTTGTAATATCTTACAAATATTATTATTTATCAAATTACAAATATTATTAATTATATTATTAATTATCATTAATAAGAACTTGCAAGATAATAAAACAGAAGTCAAGTTCTTGTTAACAGTTAACTACTATTTGTAAGATAATGAATATATTAAACAAACTGATTTTTCAATTGAAAAGAGCTTTTTGGAGAAAACATTAACTGTTTGGTTTTTTTTTTTAGTTTTCTCCGGTTTTAAACAACGCAAGCCAGAACATTTTTGACCGAATTTGAATACCTGACAGGCTTTTCGTCAATGGAAACATAAATTTTTTTAAATAACTGCAATTTTAAGTAACTTGCGGATGTTTGGGTGCGTATGTAAAAAACTCTAACTACAGGGAATATAAATCGCTTCAAATACGCTTTCAGTCAAAGGAATTTTTTAACCTTTGGATCGTCCATAAATTACGTAACGCGAAATTTAACTAATAAACAAACGAAAAAGTGTTAAAGGTTTTCCCGTCTTTAATTAAACCATGTATAAACAACCCTTCAAGTCCAGCGAAAGCCGCCGCTCAAAAGAGCAAAATATTCTCCTACTTATCTTAGTTTTTAACAAAAAAATAAAATTATAGAAAAGCTTGTTGCAAAATTATAGTAAAGTTGGATGCAGTTGTGGAAAATCTTAAATAGCTAAATAAAGGAAGGTTTAATTTTTTTTTTTTTTAATTTACACCTACCTTTATTTGAGAAAAGTGAGATTCCTTCTCAGTAGGCACGAGACGTAAAAAGAAAACATTTAAACGTCTTTTGGATGTTTTGGACGTCTTTTAGACGTTTAAAAACGTAATTTTTAGGTCCTGTGCCCACTGAGTTGAGAGTATTTAATCATTAAAAAATTGTACTAAGAAGACATAAACTTAGATTTAGATTAAAGAGTTTAAAACTAAACTTAGACAGTTACTACTAAAAAAATAATTTACCTCAAAACTATTTCTAAACATGCAAAATATCCTTATGATTAATCTATCAGTTAAATAAAAAGTATATTAATTTTAGAAACGCTTAAGTTGAATGCTTTTTTTACTTTTCAAATTTATTTATGTTTTTGTTGTTTAATATGTGTTGTTGTTCTATTTATTTTTTGATTCTTAGACTTTGGTTTTGTAAACTGTAGTTTAATATCCAAAAAATAATAATAATAATAAAAAAAAATAAAATAGTTATTAAAAAATAAATTGATGATTTTTCAAAAAATAATAAATTTTTTTAAAAGAATATGTTCAAGTGAATAGCGCTTCTTGTTATTTTTTAATAATATGATTTCTTTATTACTTTACCAACTGTTTCAATGGCATTTCTTCTAATACTTGATAATTTATTTATTTTAAATATAACACATAAAATACAGCTAAGAACTAATTTTTACTAATAAGTACGAAATTTTTTTACTAATAAGTAACTAAATTTTTACTAATAAGTACTATTTTATGTGTTATATTTTAAATAACTTTACCAATTTTACGTTTGTTTATTTTATATTGTCAACGGAAGTGCCTATTTTTATTTTTAAATGAAACTTTATATTTACGGAATTTATCAAGGGGCTTGGCGATAAGACATATTATTCTTCTTCTCTCCCCTGCTACAATTATATCTTGTTATTTACATACGGTTTGTATATAATAACACTGCAAAAATAAAAAAAGATAATATGAAAGTAGCTTTATGATAAAGTCAGTGGCTCTGCAATAAGTTATAAAACAAGATAAAGCAAAAAAAAAAGACAATACAAAAGTAGTGGCTTTAACCCCCTACCTTTATATTGTCTAGTTTTATATAATAAAATTTATCCATAAATCATTATCTACTTATTTTATACTAGAAATTTAACGTAATCAAGTCTTAGTGATACATATACAGCAAATATGTTTTAGAAACCAACGAAGCGTTTTTTGCAATCTAAAAATTGATGCTACTGCAGCGTCTTTTTGAAGATTTTGTTAAAAATATGTTAATGTTGTTGTCTGAAATATAGCATTTAAAAATTAAATAATAAACTTAAAAAATTAAAGTTCAATACTATGATTGTGCAATATCTGAAAAACGTTTTTTTCTTGACTATCCATATAGTCCAAAATAAAACAAATACAAATAAGCAATATTAGTATTAAATGAAAGAATTAAAATTAAAAGAAGTAATTAATTTAAAAAATTACACCAGGATTTATCAGATATAACTTCCAGACATGGAGCAAACTCCAAACATTAGTATGTTTCTACTTATGTCAAATAATGGGGCTGTGCATAAAATCCCCCCCCATACCCCCCTCCCCAAACGTGTGGGACAACAAGTTGGTATAAAATTTTTTTTACTAATCTCAGTTAGACTTATATTCATTCATAGTATTATCTCTCAGCGTTTTAAAAATATGACCGTATAAAACTTGTAACTTTATATGGTCATAATTTTCGAACGTTGAGAGATACTATCAAACTTGATATCACAAAAACTAATATCATATAAAAGGGGAGGTCGTCCAAAAATTGACAGTTTGACAAAGGGGGGAGGGGTGGGAGGTCAAAAATTAGGAAAAAATTACTGACATCATTTATGGACAGCCCCTAAGAATAAACACACTAATGTTTGTTCTTAAATACAGCAAGTGTGATTGACGCACTCAAACATCTGTTTGCAAAAATAAATTATATTTTTATAGTTCTTTTTGAACTTCAAAAGAAGTTCAAAAAACCTATAAAAATGTTTCAGTGCGTTTATTCTTTTAACTAAAATAGGTTTAAAAATAAATGTAAAAAAATACCTTCAAATTGAAGGTATTTTTTTACTTTTGTTTTTAAACCAATTTAAGTTATAAGAATAAACTACTTCTACCGGTAATTCATTTCAGGAAATAATTTTGTAATTCTGGAGATAAATTTGTAATTCAGGTGATAATTTTGTCGAGAAGCACTATTAGTAAATTCAGCTCGGTATCTAAAGTTGTGTCCACGTGTCTAAATTTGATTTTTTTTTTTTTTGTATATTTATTTGTTCTAATAAATCGTATTCATGTAAAGTTAGATTTACTATATCTTTTTTATTAATGATTTTACAAATTTTTATAAAGTTACGCCGAGTTAAAAATTTTGTTAAATATTTTTTTCATATGACTTTGACTAAACATCTATTTATTTGCATAACTAAAGACACGCTTTATCATACCAAGTGCTCGATTCGCCTTAAACGCAGAGCTAATTGCGACCTAAGATTGGCCGAAAAACAAATATCTTTTTTTTTTTTTCTCATATAGACTTTTCGAAAGTTATTAAATTGTCATTATTCGAATTAGGTATAAAGTATTAGTGCTTCGGATTGTTTTTCTCAATATGCAGAGCATGACACTTTTTACAGTTACTCATGGTAAGTAGTTTTTTGAGCATTCAAGTTCCTTGAAAAAGTCACCTTAAAGAGCTGGTAAAGAGTTGTTGTTCAGAAATTCAGATGTGTTAGCTGTTCTTTATAATAAGTTTTATAGAATAATAATGTTCAACTTTCAGGATACAAAAGTTAACAGAAATCAAATTTAAGTAATATCTTACTTAAATGTGATTTTTGTTAACTTTTGTATCCTTCTGTAATAATTTGAAAACGTTGGAATAAATTTCAATTTTAACAAAAATTTTAAATCTTTATCTTTATTTAAAAGTATTATTATAAGAAAAGAATAAAAAATTATGTATCAACTTAAAATCTTTTTTCAAGCAGCGTGTTGAAGCGAACAGACGCGTTTTTTCTACAGCGTGTTAAATTTTAAATTAAACATGGAAACCTCATTTAAAAATATAGAAAAATTAATTATCAAGAAGTTGGAGGAACAAAAGATATGTATATTACAAGAAACAGAAAAGTTGTTGAAAGAACAAGAAAAAAGCTTCGCGTCGATAATGAGTGCAAACTTGAAAATATTAACGGAAAGAATAGAGAAAATTGAAATATATGTAACAAATAATAAATCCAATATTATGAATATCGAAAAAGATCTGAACGATGTCAAAACAACATTAAACTTCCAAGAAACAAACCTTATAGATAAAATAAAACAAATTAGAAAGTGTTATGACAACGAAGTAAATATGTTGACCAAAAAAACAATCGATCTCGAAAACAGATCTCGACGAAACAATCTGCGAATAGATGGAGTAAAAGAAAAAGCAGGTGAAACCTGGACTGAATGCGAGGATACAGTTAAAGATATTTTTAAAAACCAACTAAAAATAAATAGCGAAGTTGTTGTAGAAAGAGCACATAGAGTAGGCAAAACAAAAGATAGTAAAATACCTAGAACTATAGTTCTGAAACTTTTAAATTATCAAGACAAGAACAAGATTCTTAACGCTGTTAAAAACTTGAAAGGTACTGGTGTATTCATCAACGAAGATTTCGCAAAGGAAACTATCGAGAGTCGCAAAAAGTTGTGGGAAGAAGTCAAACGTCTACGCGGTGAAGGAAAGTACGCCATTATCAAGTATGATAAAATTTTTTTGTAGAGAATTTAAAAATCCCATCCCTAACTTTAAGTCCTAAAAAGAAGCCTTTCTAAAAGTAAATGCTCAAATAAAATTATATTTAAAAAAAAAAAGCATGGCTGGAATCAGTGACTTTGAATCCATGCGTTTTAACTTTAATGAAATAAATGATGTAAATATAGACCCCGATATAAACTATTCCTACGAGGCGCTTACGGATTGCTCATATCACTTTCCAAGCGATTTAGGAGGGTTTCTTTTTAAAAATGTTTATGACAAATGTTTAAATAAAATTATGATACTACACGTTAACATTCGAAGTCTTAATAACAATTTTGAAAAACTTTTAAACTTGTTAGAGGAAACAAAAAATCGTTTTAATATAGTTTGTTTAACTGAAACCTGGATTTCAAATAACATAGATAATACTTCGAACTTTTATATTCCTCATTTTAAATTAATTTCGTTTAAAAGACAAGTAAATAAACGCGGCGGAGGAGTCATTATATATGTGAATGAAAATATTGTTTATTACGTTAGGAATGATTTAAGTGCTTCTGATAGCGATAAAGAAATTTTGACTATTGAAATTATGAACAATCAATCTAAAAACATATTATTAAGCTGTTGTTATCGCCCACCTGACGGCGTGAGCGAGAACTTGAGCATTTTTTTTGAACAAAGTATTTTCAAAAAAGGTATTAAAGAAAACAAAAAGAACTTCATTATTGGAGACCTAAATATGAATTGTTTTCTTTATAATGAAGATAACAAAATTAAAAACTTTTAAGACTCCTTTTTTGAGGCGGGAGCAATTCCTTTAATAAACAGGCCAACTAGAGTAACAAAAAACTCGACGTCTTTGATTGATAATATTATTACAACAGATATATTCAACAATAATATTCAAACAGGTATCCTAAAATCTGATATAACTGACCAATTTCCAATATTCTTGACAATTAATTCTGAAATTAAAAATAAAATAAACAAAATTAAAATCCGCATTTTTAACCATACAAATATAAAGTTGTTTAAAAACCAACTATCGTTACTGCACTGGAAGCATATTAACTTCAATGACAATGCAGACAAAATTTATGATAACTTTTATGAAACCTTTTACTCCGTTTATGACGCAAACTTTCCTATTATTGAAAAGACAATAACTCCAAAATATAAAAATAACCCCTGGATAACAAAAGGATTTAAAAAATCATCCAAGGTTAAACAGAAGCTGTATATAAAATATCTTAAAACAAAATCATTAGATAATGAGAAAATATATAAAAATTACAAATATCTCTTTAAAAAAGTTCGTAAAAATTTGAAAAAAAATTATTACACAAGACTTCTAGATAAATTCAAAAATAACACAAAACGCAATTGGCAAATAATGAACGAAATTACTGGCAGACAAAAAAAATGCTCAGGTTCTCTTCCCCAGATGGTTATAGTGGATAACAAACGCATATGCGAACCAAAAGCTATAGCTCATGAGTTTAATAAATTCTTCACTGACATTGGTCCTAAACTAGCAAATAAAATTCCTTATACCAAAGCAACATTTAACGATTTTCTAGTACAGATGGATAATTGCATTAGTTCCAACAAATTATATTCTGAGCTAACTTTTTATGAATTCGAAAAAGCATTCAAATCCCTTAAAAAAAACAAAGCAAACGGAGCAGATGACATAAACGGTAATATAGTTATAGAATGTTTTGAACAATTAAAAGATATACTTTTTAAGGTTTATGGAGCATCTATTCACCAAGGAGTTTTTCCGGATCAATTAAAAATTGCTAAAATTACCCCAATTTTAAAAGAGGGAGATCAAACAAATATCAGTAATTATCGTCCTATCTCCGTCCTCTGCACATTCTCAAAAATACTAGAACGCATTATGTATAATAGATTATACAATTATTTCCTTTCTAATAATTTGTTATACGCCAACCAGTTTGGTTTTAAAAAAAATAATTCGACGGAACATGCAATTATCCAACTTGTACGTGAAATTTCAAATTCTTTTGAAAAATCTAAATTAACATTAGGTGTTTTTATCGACCTATCGAAGGCGTTCGATACTGTAGATCATGAAATTTTGATACAAAAACTGAAATACTATGGAATAAATTACAAAGTTATAAAATGGTTCCGAAGTTATTTATCTAACCGTAAACAATTTGTTTTTAGTAATAGTTGTTATCCAAATGAGTTCCTAAATGTTTCATGTGGCGTTCCCCAAGGCTACATTTTGGGACCACTGTTGTTCTTGATTTATATAAACGACCTAAATAAAGCCTCAAATTTAATGAGTATAATGTTTGCTGATGACACCAACTTATTTCTTTCCGATAATGATATTTACAAACTCTTTTCTAGTATGAACGATGAACTTAAAAACATATCAAAATGGTTTATATGCAATAAGCTAACTCTTAACAGTAACAAAACAAAATGGATTCTCTTCCATCCAATCGCAAAAAAACCTTATTTACCCCAAAATTTACCAGAAATCTTTATTGATAATACTGTGATAAAAAGACACTATGTCACAAGGTTTTTGGGTGTTTTTCTTGATGAAAACATCACATGGAAAGCGCATATTGACTATATTAGCACAAAAATTTCTAAAAGCATTGGAATTTTATATAAATCGAGAACATATCTATGTAAAAAAGATTTAACCCAACTATACTACACATTTATTCATACCTATTTAAATTATGCAAATATTGCTTGGGGAAGCACAGAAAAAAGCAAATTAAAATGTCTTTACCGCCGTCAGAAGCATGCGATCCGTTTAATTAATTTTGCGGATCGATACACTCATTCCAAACCTTTTTTTATTGAAATGAAAATTCTTAATATTTACGAACTTAATGTGTTTAATGTTTTATGCTTTATGTATTTGTGGAAAAATGACTTATCCCTACCTATCTTTAAAGTTCTCTTTTGTGAAAAACCAATAAATAAATATACTCTTAGAAATAATAAATTTTTGCATAAACCTTTTTGTCGAACAAAGTTTAACCAGTATGGTATTGCTTATCGTGCGCCATATCTTTGGAATGAAGTTGTTTTGCCAAACTTTAATATATTTTACACTTTTCCAATTTTTAAACATAAACTCAAAAATTTTATTTTATTTTCCGATGACATAATAAGGTTCTTCTAATTGTAATTATGTACCTTTATTTAGAACTTTTTAATTGTAAAATACGTTTTATGTTAATTGTAAAATACGTTATATGTAACGACTCTTATTGTTTTACTTTTCTTTTTGTTTTACTTTTTATATGTAACGACTCTTTTTGTTTTACTTTTTATCTTTTTGTTTTACTATTTACTTTTACTGTTTATTTTATAAATAGATTATATACATTGTAAATAATTATGCTAAATGCTTGTAAAAGGTTCTGATGATAAGATCAGTACGATCTTCTTTCAGAAACCTTGTTTGTATTTGTTAAAGTATTGTATTACGACAAATGTAAACTTAAAATGTAAAAAAAAAAAAAAAAAAAAAAAAAAAAAAAAATATATGTTTTTTTTGGTACATATTTATAAATGGTAAATAACAGCAAATCATTTTATAATTAATTTATACAATTTGATTAAAATGAAGGTCATTTTTATTACTAGAAAGGGAATAAAATCACAAATTGAGACATTTAAAAGGATAAAAATGTTATTGGGCGGCATTAAAACTCATATCGAAGTTAACTAAGAAGACTTGAATTTCAGCCAATTTTTTTTGAATGTAATTTTTATTAGTTTCAGTATGTTTCAGCCCTATTTACAGAAACATACAGAAACTAATAAAAATTACATTCAAAAAAATTATTTCTCTATCTAAAAAGTAGTTTTTTCTCAACATTTTTATGGGAAGAAATGTACTTTTTTAATATATTTTCCTTTTTACTCTAAAAGCCTCATTAATATTATAATAATTGATATAAAATAACAGGAAGTTTACAGCCATTGTTTGAGAAATAAATTAAATAAAAAAAAGATCCGTCAAAATAAAAAATATTTTTGCAAAATTTTTTTTTTCAAAAATATTTTTGCAAAAAAAAATTTTGCTAAAATGTTTTTATTTTGCAAATTATATGCATGATCAGAACATTTTTATATGCAATATTCGCAAATTTGGAACTGTTGATCACTCGTGATTATTTTCGGAAAAAAATTAGAGTATATGTATAAGACAATTAATTTGATATTTTTAGTAAAAATTGTTACTTTATTTATTGTAAGATATTAAAAATACATCAATTTATTAAATGTTGTAGCTAATTTGTATAATAAAACAACATTTTCTATCATAAAATATATATGCAAAAAAAAACTGCATAAGCATCATTTTTAAAATTGCAAAAAACACATCAACGGTTTTTAAAGTTTGCTATAAATATATTTATGGTAAATAAATTTATTTAAACTCTTTTGTCTGTAAAAATAAAGTTTAAGTATATTTTTTTATTTTATTTTTACAGACAATATAGACAAGGAGTTTAAATATTGGAGTTTAAATTTTTAACTCTAATATTTAAACTCTTTGTTAAAATTTTTTAAGTATTTCACTAAAATTATTTTTTTAATTGTTTTCGTATTTTTTTTAATTAGTCAATTCTAATTCTAAAAATTCTCTGTATCACACATAAGTCAGCAGGGTCTGACTTGCTCTAAGGAGCCCGGGGGGAGGGGGAAGATAAATAGGGCCTTAATACGTTGCAGAAAACAGTAACACGCAAGGGCCCAGGTGCTAAAATATCACCCAAAACCAGAAGAAGAAATGCCACCTCGCCAGTCAGACCCTTTTAGTGTTAGTACAACATTAGTAACAGTGTTAGTAACCGATTAATCAAAAATCTTAAATACCAATTTTTTTTGAAGTTTTTAAAAATACCCAACATATGTTATATTATTAAAATGCGATAAAAAGTCAATTTAGTTGGATATTATAGGAAGAAAAAAAAATGAAAAATTTTTGTTTTGTATATTTATACTATTTTTACTATTTTGCATCTTTACACTATAATGTGCAACGCAAAAATTTTAAAATTTTTTTTATTATAAAATTTTTTATTTTAAAATTATTTAAGCTTGATTTTACGAAGTCATTGCATAACAAAACAAACCCATAATAAAAACTCAAAATGCAATAATAGAGAAAAAACGTAAACTTGTAAATAATGTTTACAGAAATACCAACATCTTGAAAAATAT